AATATAGCATCTGGTAGATCAAGTTTTATAAAGCTAATATTAGTCGAAATCGCGTCCTTTTTTAAATCTAAAGCGTCCATGTTAACACAATGCGTCTAATACTGTGTTTCAGAATCAGAGAGTTCCAAGCTGAATTTTATATATGTTATGCAACTTTTCATGCTATACAAAATGGTATAATCGGGTTGAAATGGAGTTTGCATTCTCATAATTTTTGGTGGTATTTCATGGTTTCTCAATAGAAACGAAATATTTGTAGCAGTTTTCATTTCCGTAACACAATTTTAAAGCAAAATAGATATAGTATTCGGAATCAGCGTCAAAAACTGCGCTGATTCACATACAGAGTGTGGGTGTGGGGTGTGGCTTTGGCTTAAAGTATTATCCACACTCACACCCACACCCACACTCACACCCACACCCACATCCACACACCCAAACACCCACACCCACACACCCACACACCCAAACACACCCACACACCCAAACACGCACACCCACACCCACACAGCCACCCACACCAACCCACACCCTCACCCTCAAGTTGAAAAGATTTGTTTTAAAACACTTACTGTATGAAAATCATTTCTTCGTCGAATTTTGGCTATTTCCGCACATTTTTACGATCAAAGTGCGATGCTATTGCATAGATATGAAGTCTAGATTATGGTATTTATTCAGCCAAAAGTTGAGGCCATTTCCTAATATTTTTAGTGAATGAGAGTCTTATGTAAGACCAGATGATGATTGGCTCACCATTCCTCGTCATTACAAGATTTATCGACGATATTTTCAGCGAAGATTGGGGTACAGTGGGGCTATATATGCTGAAAGTTTCAGCTTGTTCTGCTGAGATTTCACCAAATAATTAGCCTATTATTTCAGTGATTGCATAATCACTGATTATTTAAACCTTGATTTTTATATAAAAATGTGCCCCCTATAATCTTCTATCGATTGCTGAAAACCGCAGATCGCTATGACTTTTCGTTCGAAAACTATAAGCTTTTTTCCAGGTGCCTTCTTTTAAAATTCCAATAGTAGAAAATAATAGTTTTTTTCTGTTTTGATATACTTATAGTATATTTCGCATAATATCATGAGATTTATCGATCTCTGTAACAGATATTTCAATTTCATCTTCAAGTTTAAACTAAAATCATTCAAAATTTTCTGTACATTTTTTTATTAAAACAAGATTTCAATAACTAAAGGAAATTTTATGTTTTAAAATAAGTCAGTGATCATCATATTTAATATACTTGAATAATAATAATAACATACAATACAATAGTGTTTTGTGTTCTCAATGATAACTTTCTATTTTTGGGGTGTGGGTGTGAGTGTGAGTGTGAGTGTGGGTGTGAGTGTGAGTGTGAGTGTGAGTGTGGGTGTGAGTGTGGGTGTGAGTGCGAGTGTGAGTATGGGTGTGAGTGTGGGTGTGAGTATGGGTGTGGGTGTGGGGTATGGGTGTGAGGTGTGGGTGTAGGAGTGGGATGTAGGTGTGGATATGGGTGTGGGTGCTCTCTAAAAAAAAAGCTATTCTCGAAAACCGGCCGAAAAAGGTTTCCCAGGACTCGGAAACCCATTTTTTATCTTCAGAAACTTTTTTAAGGGTTTCCGAATCTGGGAAACCCATTTTTTGGCTCTTGGAAATCCTTAATAGGTTTCATATAGAGACAAACTCGGAAACCTAAAAGGGTTTCCGAGTCTTCGGAAACCGATAACGGTTTCCGAGTTTGTCCCTATATGAAACCTTTTAAGGGTTTCCGAAAGCCAAAAAATGGGTTTCCGAGGTTCGAAGGGTGGGTGTGGGTGTGAGTGTGGGTTTTGCTATGGTATACCGCTCACCCACAGCCACCAACGCCCACACCCACACCCTACATCCACACCGACACCCACAAACCCAAATCAAAACGCACCGTACCCCGCACCCACACCCAAATTCGCATCTATAGGCCTACAACAATCATATGGATAGTTAAAAACTAATAAGTGCACAAACACAGACTGACGACAGTATATAATGCTCGGTCTATGTCGAAAGTTCACATTTTGTCCGTCATGTTTCATGAAATTCAATCGTAACACGATGCTTTTCTGAGAGTTCATATTCCGTGTTTTTTGTTACTCGCCGACCTGAATAAATCCAAGTTCGATATAGTAGGACTAAACAGACTTGGTCCTCGTCATGATAATTCAATCGAAATGTGTTGCGAAGCTGATTAAGTTCTGGATCGAAAGAAAGTGGAGTTAATGGCTTGTACAATTCGTTTAGGACTTTGGATGGCCCAAGGCTGTCGACGATGTCTTGACTGGTCACAATCCACCCACTAGGACCGATGTCGGATAGTACACTGGATTTGGCACTTTCGTGAAACAGGCTTCGAATAAAGTCTGTAGCAATACGTGAACGAGGATACGATAGACTATTACGAAGGTTTTGCTCAACGTCAAATGCGTCCCTTTCGTAATCATGATGACTACTGTTTCCCACAACAAAATATCGAATCGTATCGGGACTATCACAGATGTTATACTTGCCATTGCAGAGATATCGACCTATGTTCGACATAATATCATTGGGACGCAGCCAGATGTTTTTTACAACCCGACTGGCGATTTCGTGCATGATTCTCAGTCTCGACATATTCATACTTAAGCCTTGAATTACGTATCGGCCATCCCTGTATTTGACATACACGTTTATTCCAGTATTATTGTCAGATTTTACTTTCAGCTTCAAAGATGTCCTTCCAACTTTGGCAAGCAAAAGTTTATCCTTACCAGACTTGCCAGGCAGTGGAATTATATTGTTGGATCTATATGAAATGTCATCGAGGGTAAATCTTCTCTTCGTAACTTGAAACACTTGAAAATATTCCGGATCAAGAACGAGAAAATAAATTAGATGTAGTTCTTTGGGGAAACCAATGAAGTGTGAAGGTATATCTTCCTCTTCAATACTCGATAAAACAGACTTTTCAATTCGATCCAGTAAAGGCTCAGAGACAGAGTGCATAAATTCCATTAACGCCCATCTTTTGTTGTTTCCAACGATGGAATCCCATTTGTCCTGCTTGCTTTTATCAATTTTATCGTCACGAGAGTTCTTCTTCTTAGTACTTTGTTGGTTAGCCGACATTAAGCCGATTTCGAATGAAATTTCTAGAGATAAAAGTTTACAATTCAAACTGTTTTTTTCTTTTCTTAGGAGTGGTAAAAAAAAAGCACAAAGAGAAAAAAATGGAATGCTTCTTATTGGTTGAAGGGAAATATATGATGCTGCTTCGCGGACGTCATTGCACAACAATTCATTCTCCTCGATACAGAACGAAGATTGTTATCGAGAAACGTTTACATTACTTTTTCTATTTTTTGTTCTATCAAAGGCAAGCTAAAGATAAAGTGCGACTGAACAAGACTGAATCCGAATATAAAGCACATTGAATGTCAAAAAAAGAGAAGAAAAAATTATCAAAAATTTCCAACTATCCCTGTTGAACAACATTGATTGATAAATATATATATCTATTGGTTGCAACGTTCTCTGACCACTTTATTCTTCCAAAGGTACGAAGAAACATTATGTAAAAAATATTAAAAAAAACTGCAAATAAGCAAAAGGAAAAGGAAAAAGAAGAAAAATAAGTGAGTGAAGGAAGAGAAAAGAAATGAAGAGAACAAAAATGTATCTTGAATTGGTAATCTAATCATGTATTCTGTGACTCAGTAGTGACTATCATTGTGAATGATGTAGGTACTATGTGAAATTTTCAGAGACATTCTTTAGTAGTTGTTCTTCTGTTTTCTCTTTGAATCTTCTACTCGTCAAACCTCCTCTGCGTAACGTCAACTCTTGTTTAGCTTCCTTTTGCGGTTGTTGACTCTTTTTGTTATGATTTCATTCCTCTTTTCTCCACTTGTCGCCCTGTCTTTTCTTCTTCGGATCTTTTTTCCTTAATTTCTTTTTCTCTGTTTTCTCTTCCTTTACCCATGGAAAAAAAAGATAAAAAAAAATGGACGAGAACGCGTTGTTGAAATAAAAGATCGCGTACGTGTGGGTGTATCAGATTGGAACCTAAGTTTTGCACGTTTTCTTGTCTCACCAAAAAAGTGCCCTGTCAGATCAGGTGATCTATTCAGCATTGAGAAACCAAGTATACTATGTTATAGAGCAAGGTAAGACGCGTCGAATGGTATATAGTAAATCTTGTTTTCATAAGATTTCGAAGGAACTACAGTCAAATTACTGATAGATGACCAGATATCGAAAGGGTGTGGGTGTGGATGAATCTTCGCGAGAAGATTCACACCCACACTCACACGAACACCCACATCCACAGCCTTTACTAGCAACTCGACTTTATCGATTAATGTTTATCTCGCATCTTTTTATGTTTCTAGAAAAATATTCAATTTATACGAAGATCAAATTACTTTTGTAAAACAAATCAAATATACCAGGACATGTTTTCAAACTCTTAATTTCTATCGCATATAAATCCAAAACTTCATATCAATATCAAATGTAGTTCTTATGTTAATGTAATAGTGTAGATGACTTTCATTTATTGCAGCAGATGAATTACTATATGTGTATGAGGGTGTGGGTGTGGGTAATGGTACGTGAGTATGGGTCTTCTCTTGATCCACACAGCCACATCCACATCCTTATTACTCGCAACAAACAATAGATATCTTTATCACTTGCACATGTAAGGTCTGTTTACTATGAATAAATCCTTCGCTATCTACCTTTGTTGTACTGATAAACATTAAAAAAATGATTCGTTTTGTTTGAGATATCTACAGAGTTCCTATAGATATACTGATAGGTTAATGATATGACATCGCATAGTTTTTTTTTCTTAACACGTCGAGAGTGTGTATGGAAATATTATCTCTGGTATTCATTTTAATGATAAACTTGAAATTTTTATTATAATAAAAAAGAGAAATAGATATTCTATGATCTTTTTCAATAAATATATAATCAATCAATAGAAAGTTTTGATAATGAATAAAATAATAATCGAAGCAAATTTGATTAATGATGATGATATTGTTTGTTCACCACTACTATTAGAATGTAAAAATTTATTAAAATCAAATGAAATATCACTTTTTTGACGAATTTGACGACCAGTATCAAGCGTATTGCAACCTTTTGATTGACATGCAATAGACCAACTCAGAATACGTGTTTGATCGGTCATATTAAAATGAATTTCATTACTTAAATATCCTTCATATGCATCATCAGTAGAGCAAGTTGCACATATTTTATCTATTTCAGTTTCAGTTTTAACAGTTGTTAAACATTGTTTACATTTACTTGGATCAATATCAGTAGTTGAACTACAACTTTCATCAGTTTGATTTATATAACGAAAACACTGATTACCATCAAATGGATTTTCTGGATTAAGAAGACCTTCAAGTTCATTAAATTTGCTACTTAATGACAAAGATTCTAATATACGTTTGAATACATTTGCATCATTACATCGATCAGTTGAACAAGAATAATATAAATTATGTTGCCTTTGTTGTATCACTCCGATGCCTGACATCATAGCCGTAACATCAAGCATATGTTTTGATGACAATGATCTAGTATTATCGGGTTCCATTTTAATTCCAGTCATATTAGTAGTTAAATACCACCTAGCATCAATAAAACATCCAATATGATTGGATGTGACTTGACAATTTTGAATTTCCGATGGGATGGTATCCAATGTAACTATGTAATTGTATGTCGAGGGTACGTTTGAGCAATCATAGCATGATATATTACAAGACACTGAATAGATCAGTGAGAATACAATCGCTGTATGAAATAACATTGTTGTTAGATATTTTTTTCTTCGTGAGAATCCTGATCTATATAAATAAATCAGTTTTCGAACCTTAATTTGCCTGATTGAGACAGGGATGAAAATATATAAATTATTAAACAGGTATCTGTTCGAGAATTGAATCGTGCGTAAAATAATTTATATGCTGTGTTGATGCAAGTCACAAAGTGAGAGTTAGAGATAACACATGAATGAAATTAAGATTTCAAAAAAAAGATAAGAACAAAACAAAAAAGGTCATGCTTATAATAATATATTTAATTTTGACTTACAGACTAAAATCTGCTTTTTTTTAGAGTTTGCTTATATGTTGCTTGAAGACTGGTGATGATATCCGTTCTTCATGAGTTAGAAATTATTATTTAATAAATAAAGAGAAAAACAATATGACAAATAAGAATTTCAGTTATGGAAATGTTAGAGTTTTCATCTATAGTGCATATAACACACGTATTTTCGATGTAAGAAGTTTACGATTGTAGATGCGTAATTCATCAACACTATCAGCAAATGATCCATTAATGATCGATGTCGATACACAACTGTTATTAGCCAAGAGTCGATTTGCAATAGTGATATAAGCAGGCTGATTAGGAGCATGTATTGTACTGACTTGTCCAGATGTAAAATAAATCAATCCATTAACGATTAGATAAATCCCATCATTTACAGCGTATATTTGAACAATATGTGTCCAAACATTTAATGTCAGTACAGGTTCATAAAACAATTAGATTCTCAAATTTAGCAATAAGTTGACCTTTAGTACTAAATCCAAGTAAGGAATCACACCAATCATCGCCCGTGGATTGAGTAGAAAGGTGAACTAAAGTACCAATACGATTTAGTGGTTTGATTCAAAATGAAATTGAAAACGATTGATTGGTCATACTCAAAGCTGTAAAACCAAATGCTTGAAAATATGCATTTGATGAATTAAATTCAAGAACCTTTGTTTACTCGTTCACTGACAACTGTTTGTCCAATTGCAGATCCATGTAAGAGATTCGACCCTGATTCAAATATTAAACTACAATCAAACGAATAATAATTGATAAGACTTGCATGATCTAAAATTTCTTTTGGTGACTTCGCACGATAAGTTATCGATACATGATCAATATAACCAAAGAAATAGTTATTAAAAACAGGTATACCTCCAATTGCAGCATTACCGGATTAACCAAAATAGAGATGAAGAGCTGTTGGATTCAGAATATTTAAGTTTTCTAATATTCCATTCAAATAAACGAATTCCTGTCGAAGATCATAATCATAAGCAAAAGCGACATGATACCACCGATTCATCACGGGATTAGTAGTTTCTCTTGCATTATCCTAAAAGAAACTCATGTATAACATTATATTTTGTGAAATTCCATAATGAAAGCATTGTCGAGCAATAGCATCATTACACTCGCTGAACAGATTCAGAAATGGATTCATGCCATTCGTAAGATAAAACCACAATTCAATCGTAAAACTTCGTCGATAAAAATCAATATACAGTAATACATAAGACATAAGTATTATCGAAACCTTGTATAGCTTGACCGTATCTAATGGCCAATGTGACGTCAGTGTTTGATCTGTAGGTAACGAACTTGGACATGTTGATTGAACTAAGATGAAAAATAAATGATATTTCATTTTTAGATTATCATCTTACCACAAAATGTACTATTCCAATGAGCTGTCGAATTACATAAACATTTACTACATACTAAACAATAAAGACCAATATCTTGTCGACATGCTTCATTGGGTGTGGGTGTGGGTCTTGGAACTCTCTGATTCTGAAACACAATATTAGACGCCTTGTGTTAACATGGACGTCTTAGACTTAAAAAAAAGACGCGATTTCGACTAATATTAGCTTTATAAAACTTCACCTACCAGATGCTATATTATATCCAAATAGTATATTTTGTTCAGCTTTTAATTCTCTATCTTCTGATATATAATGTGAAAAATGTCGGTGATCTGTTGAGACGCAATCTGGCATCATTTTATTAGAGCATTTTTTTAGTGTTTCTTTCTATTAAAGTCATGATAGTGCTAAAAGTTGATCTTGACTAACTTTTCAAAGGAAAAGTATTAGAAGCTAAAATTTTGAGGTTGGTGGTTTCGGATATTGAAGCACTGAATGAGCGAAAAAAATTGAAAACTCTTTTTGTACCAAGTACCACGTATACTTGATGGTCTCACGAATTTTCTCTTAATTTTTCTTGCTTTCAGAAATAAAAAATTTATGAATAATTTTACGTATAAATGATTCTTACGTTGTTGTTTTTCAAATATCGCGATTAATCGTCAAAATTTACGCGATTTTTACGACATAGGTAAAGCCTTTGGTAGTATATCAACAATGTCTACGATGAGTAATGGCTGTAACTCGATCACAAACAGCCGCAGGTACTAAAATAGTGCTATATTCTGTGCCTGCGTTGATGGCGCTAAGTTTTACAGATCGTATTTCACAAAATACCAAGCATGAAAAATCTTTAAAAACTTTACCTTGGAAAAGAAAGAGGTCCTCTTATGTCTGAAACAAATGTCGGATTTCAGTTGAATATATTGTGTTTTAATGAGCATAATCAACTGTTGATATTGATGAAAAAAGAATACATAAGCTGTATGTTCTTCTCTATTGGTCGAAATTTATGAATTCTTCAATTATGAACAAATATTCAAAATATACATATAATGCTAATTTTCCTTTGATTAGCATAAGCAAACCCATTTTTTTTTGGTTAAAATTGTCTCAATACGCACATTTATATCTGTCAGAGAAAAAAAAACAAGACGAAAAAACAAAAAAAAAAGAAAACATTTCATGTCGATCCTTTTGTTGTTTGTAATGGTTTATAATGTTGAATTCCTTGTAGAAAAATATCTTTAACTGATTGTATTGTTTCATTATATAATTTTAAATCTTCTTCTTTAGCATCTAACATTGATTTAAGTGTATTTTTAAGTGCATCATTTTCTTCTGTTTTAAGTGTTAAACGCATTTCAAGTTCTTCAATTGTTTCATGATTATCTGATTGTGCAGATGATGATTTTGGTAATGATGGCATTGATCCACGTCCTTTTACTATAGAGAAAAATAACGATTTGAGGTTTTTTTGTTATAAATAGAATAGAAAATTAAAAAAACAATTTACCTGTTCGATTTTTAACATTATTTAAATCAAGTTTAGTTTTTTCCATATCTTTTTCTAGACGAACATTCATTTTACGTTGTTCAATTAATTTATTTTCTTGTTCAACAAGTTGTGTATTAGCATTATCAAGACGTTTTTGTAATGTTTGAATAAATTCAACAAGACGATTTCGTTCAAGGTCTAGAGCAGCATTTATACATTTGAGATCTTTATCATCCTTTAAAATTGAATAAAAAAAAAAATAGAAAAAATTATTAACTATTTTTTTTTTTTGTTCTCTTACAGAAGATTTTTTAACATTGACTGCACTTGATGGTCGACTATTTGATGAAGTAGTTGTAAAACCATTTTTTTCAAGACGAGTAAGAACAGGATCTAATGTTGAAGATTGTTTTAAAGTATTTAATTGCATAGGTGCTACAGTAACACTTTGTACTGGAGTATATCGACTTGTAATATTGACATAGGCAAGAGAATCATCAGGTTTAACAAATGTTGAAGATAATTCATTGTCATCTTTTTCATACTGAAAATCAAAAAAAAAAAAAATTCTTTTTGTTATACATGTTATTATCAAATAGTTTGATCAAACAACACATTCCACGCACTTCTCAGATTCGTCTCGAATCGATTGAGTTCGTGACCTATTTAATCTAGACAATTATCCATTTCAAAATAGAAGAGCAGTGAGTGTTTTGTTTTTTTGAATAACTTTTGATAGAAATAAGATAGAGACCTGCGATTTTCACCGTTGAAAAGAGAAAGTGAAGACGCATCGAATCATATATTATACATTTTATTACCAAATGTTTTTAGAGTTTCTATTGAATTTTTTCAAAAACAACTGTAGCAAAAAACTAGAATTTTCTTGAAAAATTAGGTAGAAGCTCACTGGAAAATGCCTTTAACTTCTGAACATTATAAGTTAAAATTCAGAACCTTGCGCAGTTTTGTAGATCTTCGATTGATGGTTCTGATGCACTCCTAAAAATCGAAAATTCTCTGTGGTGACTGAATGCAGTATATTGGTTTGCCAAAATCTCGATTAAAAACATTTAATAAAACTTCCAGAAAAATTCTATAATATATGATTCGATGCATCTTCATCTCCTCTTTCTAACAGTGAAAACTACAGATCCATATCTTCTTTCTATCGAAAGTTATTAGAAAAAAATATCCACTGCTCTTCCATTTTGAAATGGTTAATAGTGTGGGCGTAAGTGCTGTTCTTCTCTTAATCCATACCGACACTCACATCTCAATGTTAATGACATATGCATGAATGGGATTTTTTTTTTCGAATAAATATCTTTCAACAATTCTGACTTTTAACTTTCGGCCAAAGATTTAAGAATCAGATTTATCTCATTTCTACTTGAAAGGCTCTAAAAGTGATAAATAGGAAAATAGTATCACATTAGAGATGTTCAGAGTAAGCTTTTTTCGTGTTCTGAAAGTATATCGTATGTTTGAAGCAGAGACCGAACCTAACTAATTTTTGAAAAGTGAATAAATATGGACAAGTATATAAGAAATATGATTAACTGAGCTACAATCCTTTTTGCGAAATTGTGATGCTGTATGGGATTATCAAATGATTTTTGATCGAACGTTTTACAT